TGTTTTGTGTTAATGGTTTAACATTTTTATTTACTTAGGACTAGCAAGTAGTACAGTGATCATTATTGTTGTGCCAGTAATTATGTTCATATTCTTTTTTGCTGTTGTAATTGCTGGAATAATAATTATTATCATGAAGTTAGTATCATCAGCTAGTTTATTAGTTTCAATGATATTATTATGTTGTTATAGAAAGAGACTTAGATCTAAGTACATTAATGATACTAGATCTAAAACTGCTGTATATGATGATCCTGATATAATATTGAAGGAAGTTAAACCACAAGCAGTTTATGATGAAGTTAAAATTGAATCAACTGATCCTGTTTCTCCTGCTGATTATGAAGTTCCTGTTACTGCAATTACTGAAGAGACTGTTGACAAAGCGATGCAATGAAGCTAAATAAGCATAAAAATAATAAACATGCATTAACATAGTTACTTTTAATACTAGTCTATTAGTGTAGTTATGTTTATTGCTTGCTTAGTCAAACAAAAATTGAAAATTTAAATGAAGGCGCATTCCTGTGCATATACCGTAGAATCAAAATCATACAAAGAATAATTAAATTGTCCAATTTTTTGTGATTTATCTTTATAAAGTTTTAAAAGGGCATGAGGTATAATAATTACCATAGAAAATGAACTTAGTGCTTACAAAATCAGGTATAAAATCATGTTAGCATACAAGTATTGCTCAATTCACATTACATGGCAGAAGAGAAAGTGAGTTATTGTAACTAATAGTCCACATACCACAAACCCACTCATATGAGTAGATGATGACCAATCAGAATTGCTATGGTCTGTGGTCTGGCATAACCTTTTGTACTATTGCCAGCTTTTAGTCAAGATGGAGCATTGTTTCTCTTCTTTGTTAATGATATTATTGATAACAGCTACACTTTCAAATTGTGAAGGTATGAAGTCTTCGTCATGAATTTCTTTAGGTGTCAACTAATAATACACTTTTTTGTATGAATACCATGTATAATATTATTTATTATTTCTCATTTCATAGTTTGTTCTAATATTACTATACCTTTGGAACGAAGCTACAATTATCTCACAACAGTATCAGTTGGTGAATGTGTAACCTTACATTGTATACAAAGTGAGACAGTACAATGGGAACTGAATGGAACTGATGTTAGTAATGATACTCGTTACAATATCAATACTACTAGTGGTACACTGACTATACAAGAAGTGAGGAGCACTGATACTGGAAACTATACTTGTGACTCAGGAAGCATTTCTCTAATAGTCCAAAGTAAATAGTATATATTTATACTTCTCATGTTTTACTAATCTCACTGTTGTTAGTAGTATCAGTAACATTAACAGCTAGCTAGTATGTTGTCAATGTTCATTACAGAATATATATAGATACCATTATCTCATCTGTTACTGTAGAATTATTTTTGCTTTAATTTATATTTAGGAATATATGTGAAATCAGTTGAGATGCCTTCTCATTTGTCATTTCTAATCAATTCAACAGTAAAGATTGAGTGTTTCATTCTTCTTAATACTCCTGTTGGTCCTGGTATACAACCCAATATCACTTGGTATCATAATATAACTGATGTTACACACAATAGTTCATTAATGAGGAACAATGACACTCTCTTTACTTCAACACTCACTATTAATTCAATACAAGTATCTGATGCTGGAGTATATCATTGCAGTGCTGGGATTGATTCTAATGTAACTACTGACAATATCAGTGTATGTGTAACAGGTAATATGTCACAAAATAGTGTATATACTATTAACAATATCTATACAGTTAATGAGACACTACCATCAGTAACAGAAGAACTATCCCTTGGTCAGTATTATTCAATTGATTGTATCACTAGACCACTACCTACTGGAGTATCAGTATCCTGGCTACTTACTAATGGTTCTATTTATAGTAACAATAATACACTAATGATACCATCAATACTACCATCACATAATAATACACAATATAATTGTACAATAATGATTGAGACTAATCCCATTGACTGTAGTACTCAAACACAAACTATTACTCTTAGAGTGAAAGGTAAGAGTCCAGATATAATTGTTTTAATATGTATTCTTATGTTGTAGCTACTTATATCAATTCAGTGATTGTATTACCTATTTCAATTGTCAGTTTCTTCATTAACTCTACAGTAGTACTGAACTGTACTATTAATCTTAATACTGGAATAGGTCCTGATACATCATTCATTAGTCATTACTGGTATCAGTATAGCACTGATATTAGTAATAGGAGTACACAACTGATGATTAATGGTGACAGTAAGAGTCTAGCAACAACACTGAATATTACTAGTGTTCAACTCTCTGATGCTGGAGAATATCAATGTGGAGCTAGTATTGATGGTATTGATACTGTTATAAGTAATACAGCATATGTTTGTGTTAAAGGTTAGTCTAAAATGAAAATCAAAATCTAATAAATGTTTTTCATTTAGTCCCTGTCATAAATACTTCTTTTGATGCTGATTTAAAACTAGGAGATGTCAGAGAGTATGATTGTACATTAGGTCATAATTATAAATCAGAAGTTGTTGTATCATGGAATCAACATAAATCTCGTATAGCATTTAAAAATCCTCTCATATTAACAGTGGATCAGTCAATCAACAATACAGTGTATATTTGTATTTTACTAATTATTAAAAATCCAATTAACTGTCCTTTTCAACAAGCTAATGTATCTGTTACAGTGAAAGGTATTGCCAGCAAGTAATGTTTATTTATTACCTTTTAATAGATACATTTATAACGGAAGTGATGACTAATATTGTCTTTATGAACTTATCAAATACTTATAAACAGTTGGATTGTCATATTACTACTAACACTGATATTAACACTACTAACACTGATATTAACAGTGTAGTTAATGTATCCTGGTATAGAGACAATGGTAATGGGAACAGGCTAGTATCAGACAGTGAAGGAGTATCTATACTACCCATTGTGTCAGTTAATGATAGATCATTTATTAGTACACTGAGGTTCAGTCCAATAACATCATCAACTCCAGTATCAACACTTGGTAATTACACTTGTGTAGCATGGATAGGAGAACAATCAGGTAGAAGTGAAGCATCAAATAATGTAGAAGTTATAATGAAAAGTAAGTCATATATCACCAGCCTTTTTTCCTTTATGTCATTTGCTTGTAGTCAATAATTCTGATGATGTTGTTAGTATGTCTCTGAATGAGTATACAGCTGGAGACAGTTTTAATGCAACATGTATGATTATTGCTCATCAATTATCGCCTCCTATTACTACTAAGGGTACTGCTAATATTATACACAATGATAGCATTCTTAGGTCAAGTTTATTTGATATTGGTGCCACTGGTATTTACAACCAATCTTTAAACATTTCCTTCACTAATTTGAAATTAT